AAAAAATTAAGTTGTTTCAAATAATACTTATTAATTCTACCACAAGTATTTGACTAACGTAGAGTTTAATTAACCGTATACCTCTTCCGAAAAAGAGTTAAATAAATACTTCAGTTCAATGATTGTCAGTAAACCAAAATGCTCTTCAACCACTTCAAGCAGATTTCGTGAGCTTTCGAGTTTCGATCTACTACATATCATATAAGGTTTATAATCTTTTGTTTCCTTAAAACTAGGAGCTAGACTTCAGGTAGGTAATGGTAAATCTATTGATGTCTGAGAATCCCTTTGGATTCTCAAACTCATAGCTTTAAACCAACTTGTTGTTTTGAAGGAGATAAAGATAGGATATGTAAAGTGTCTGATTTGCTGAATTTAGAGGGAACCACGTGAGATCATGATTTGATTGCTCAAACATTCAATCCTGTGGATGCAGCACACATTCTGAAAATCTACATAAGTCACAGGGATGTGAAGGACAGGTGGGTGTGGCACTTTGACAAACAAGGGAAATTATCTGTTAAGGAAGCCTACAAGAATATTCAGAGAAAAAGGGCAGAGGACAGGGAGACAGTGGGATCAAGTTCAGCTGCAGAGAGGATGAAGGGTATGTGGCAGTGCACTTGGGGTCTTTATATCAAACCAAAGGTGGAAAACTTCCTTTGGAGATGTTATCATAACTGGCTGGGTACCAAGATAAATCTGAAACTCAAAGGGGTGTTGGGAGATGCCATATGCAGTTGGTGTGGGGCAGGAGAGGAAGACTTGGATCACCTAATGTTTACCTGTGACAGAGCACAAAGGATATAGAAAATTGCTGGGATTACATGGAATTGTATTCAGAGGAGGGAGGCAAATTTCCAAGAATGGTGATAGGAAGTGTGTACAATGCCTGCTAGTGACCACAACAAAAATAGAATTTCGCTATCCGCATACTTATTGTGGTGGATGTTGAAAACAAGAAACAGTTGGGTATTTAACAAAGAAATCATGTCAGAGGATAGGGTGGTGGAACAAGCTAGAATGGAATGGATGGAATTTGATGAAGTGCAAGCGTATCAGAGGCAGGATGTGATAAATTCAGCTGGAGGCAGACAGAGAGTAGGGGTACATGAGGGTGTAGCCAGTGCTATTGTGTCTGATCTTCAGGTGAATGGGGCCAGGGAAGAAACAAATAATCAAGATCATGATGTTCATAGACTATGCTGCTCTAGGGATGTTTCCCATAAACAACCAGTGGAGGCTGCTCTATTGGACATTAGGACATGGCTGGAAGATGGATACAGGCTGGGATGGAAGCAAGCTCAAATTTGCACCAGAGACAAGAACCTGCTTCAGCTATTACTGAGGAAATAAGGCTTCAACTCAGATGTGTTTGTAATAGTTGCTGATATATTTTCCTTAGTTGAATTGTATGATACTGTGTCTTTTATTTCCTGTACCCAAGTTGTGTTCTAGTTTGTGTAGTTTTTGAGTGGTTGGTTGGTTTGTATTAGGACCAGTTTGGTCTCATAGGGGCACCTGTATCAGGGGGCCCCTTCTTGTGTTCTAGCTCAAACTGGTGTGTGGTTGGATCAAGTGCAACCCGTTGGTTGCTCGTGTTTGTACATTTCGAGTTTATGATTAGTAAAATTTGATGTTTGAAAAAAAAAAAAAAAAAAAAATTTTTNAAGACAGAAAAACAAGGGTGTTGATTATAATCTTTAACTAGTCCAAATGAACAGAAGAACAAATGTTGATATATTAGTAAGTCGACGTGTAGTGTTGTAGCAAATTATTTTATTTTTTTACCGAGTACCGAATCGAAGGATTCGTTCCCCGGGTCGATCTCTCGAGGAAGACGGTTCGGAATTTAGCGTTGGTCTTGATCACACACGAAAAGAAAATAAGTCCTAAACACTCTAATCACGATTGATTTGGGGAATCAACTAAAACAAGCTAGAACTAGAAATTTTTTTTTTAAAGAAATAACAATTAAATTTCTAGAGAAAAAGAAGAAGGTTTAGGGGTCGGGAAATCTCATTAAGTCTTAAACTATGTTGAACGCTTATTTGTTCGGTTACGAGATTAAACAAGCCTACACGTCTAGAGGGCTATGCTCAATAACTCTTCGTAACAAGAGCACAAACATAAACGATGAACTCATTCAAACAAGCAACACATAGACAATACTTTTACGAATATGTCTACTCTATACGAGCCTAAATCGACCGACGTCTCCCCTCTCGGTTCTAAGCGTCGATTAACTAGGATAGAATGGTGATCAATCAACTAACCATATAATTCACACAATTCGTATAGATTGAACAAAACACATTCCTCATAATTCAAAACAAGAATCAAAATCCCTAACCCTAGGTGAATGGATTACCTCATGCTTAGATTCAATTTCATGTTAACCGGAATTAAGAACATAAAACTAATCAACAATAATAAAATAGAATTGAAAAACTTACAATCGGATTAAGAGTTGCAAGATTTCAATCCAAATATCCTTGTGTCCAACAATCCAAGCATGAGAGAAAAAAAAAGGAAAAGCGGAGAAATTTATCCCAACAATATTGAGTTTTAGAGAGAAAAATTGAAAGGAACGATATTGGGCGTTTTTCCTTAGGCCTGAGGGGTCGTTTTTATATATAGAGCTCGAAAAACGGAGCTAAAACGAGTAAAAACAGAGAAAAATAAAAACAAGGTCGAACAGGTCGCGACTCGCGAGTCTGACAGGTCGTGGGGTCGCGCAGCTGGTCGGAGGCTCTGTTAAAGTCGCGAGTCGCGACTTTGCTCTCGCGAGTCGCGACTTTGGACTGCACCGCGCCATTTTACGTTTCGGGCTCGTTTGGGCTCATCCGAACTCGGAATTGAGTTCCGTTTTTTGCTACGCGTCGCTAACGAACCCATCTATCCAATTGTGCTCTCGAAACCAACTTTTCCTGAAGATAAAATTCGCCCGAAGCTTCCGACCTACACACCAAAAACGACAAAACACGAAGAAAACCGGGAAAACAAACGAAAAAATACCTAAAGACTCAAAATAAAGAAAAATACATAATAAAACACGAAACAAACTAAAAATGAAGAAAACGATCTAAAACGGGGGATAAAGAAAAGCAAAACGAGCACGAAAAATGCAACAAAAATGGGACAAACATGTAGTATATAGGATTTGGAAAACAAAAACTTCTATAATAAATAAAAAAACTAAACAGTTATATTCTTATTATAAATTATAATAAATAATAAATAAATAAAAAAGTAATAATTAATTTAAATGAGAAGTGTTTTAAATGCAATTTGTCAATAATAATAACTATTCCAATCATATATATAAATTTAATTATGTCCAAAGTAAAAAAAAATTATATTTTTTATGGTACTTTTATTAGCAATAAGTAAAAGTGTATTAAATTATAAAATATATATTTAGTTTTTAGAGACAATAAATTTTATGTGAAAATTATTAATGATAAATTAAAATATTTAATTATTGGCCATTGTTTTCATCTTTTACAATTCTAATTTTAAGCAAATGTGACTTTATATTTAAATTTTAACTAAAATGGTTTGTGCATTGACACTCATCCCAACTGTGTAACCAAATTCCCAATTGAGTTCTAAACTGCTTTGTGAGAAACTTGTTTAGAACTCAAATTTGTTCGATTGACCTAATTGTGTTCCAAAAATTAACCTGACTTGATCAAACCAATATATCCCAATTTGATCAGATTGACCTAGTCTTATCTTAGGCATTAGCCCGACTCAACAATAAATTACTTACAACCACTTAGTTAGTTACAAAACTTACTTGCCCCGTTCAAATGATGACAATATACTTATAAAGTAACCTTAAAGAATAGTTTAAATGAACATGAAACGAAATCGGTGGCCCGCTCTAGTTTGGTCGGGTTGCAATAGTCTAAACGGATCCAATTCTATACCCGATCCACTTATCTTTCTTGCTGTTTGAAAAATCTATTGAGCAAGAAGTTCGACGAAATGCCTGAACGAGACAAGATATCTTATGCCTCCCATGATCAGCATCCTATCTCAAGCGGGATGAGTTTCGAAAGGCAGAAGATATTTTCTACTCAAATTCCTCAGTAAATGAGAATCGTTGCGGCAGAATATGACTTGGTGGATGCCTATGCAAAGGTCGCTGAATATATCGAGCCACGGCTATATTTGACCATACGCTGGACAGGAACTCGTTATCCTAGAGAAGCTTGATCTCGGGTTAATTTAGAGCAGGGAAAGTCCATGTCACCCTTGGACATTTTTCACAAAGATGGCTTATCATGCAGACGAAAATGATTACATTCTTCGTGCAAAATGGGCAAATTGAAGAGGTTCGGCAGGCTTTCAACTGCATGCCCATGAAAAAATGTGGTGACGTGGACCTCGACCGTGAAGGCCTAGGTTTTATACGCTCGTCCACAAGATGCTATGGTGTGTGGGTTTTTGGACGAGGGCAGAATAAACAAAGCTATGGAGCTTTCGATTCAATGATTCAATCCGATGGAAGACCGCGATTTACTGGACCACTATGGTCCCTAGCCTCGCCAAAACTTGTATAACCGATAAAACGAGGAAATACTTTGACAGAATGTTGGTAAGGATATCTCTGTATGGAATGTATTGATCACAGCTATTCCCCTGATATAGGTCACATATGATTTAGGCCCGCGAACTTTTTGACTCAGATGCCAAGACAAATAATGTCACATAAAGTCATAGAATGAAATGATCCACAGCTATTCCAGGGACTAACGAGAGTATATAATATATATTGCAGTTGAAGCACTGAAAATTAAAAGAGTCTAATTTTGAATTAATTGTACAACATGAAAACATGAATGATTCATTGATTACAGTAATTCTCTTGTACTCTATGCATCTTCTTCTTGTACGGCTGTGACTTTGCAAAGCGGGCAGACATTCTTCTCCCTGAGCCACTGCTTGATGCAGTCTATGTGGTAGTCATGCCCGCACCCAAGGCCCGCCACTTGTTCCCCTTCCCCAAGCAATAAGTCCTGGCACACCACGCACATCTCCCCACTAATCCCCCGCTTCCTCTTCAGCCCTCTCGACAAAGCCTCCTCACTCACACCGCTCCCGACCCGCACAATATCATCATAAATGTCGATAGTATCATCAATGGCGCCCGTGTCGATATACCTCCCTACTTTCGACCAGATTTCCGAGACCAGGCCGTCCGTGTCCGTGTCGGGCCCTAGCGAGCCCTGGGCTCGCAGGTAGTCGATATCCCGGCAGATTGCGCGCTCCCACACGTGCTCGTAATCCGGGTCGGATACCACATCGAGAAAGTGGGCTTGGTAGTGTGCAAAGTCGTCCGGACCCAGGGCTTCCATCTCCCGATCCATCCGCCCGATAACCCGCTGCGAGTCGTTGTTAGTCCACTGCCTTCCCAGAGCACTCTCCAGCCACGCGCGCGTGTCGTCTTCTTCTTCGTCTTCGTCTTCAACGAGTTGGTTCTCGATTAATTCCGTGAAATCAGGATCGTCCCAGCCGCAGTAGTCGTGGTCAAGGCAAGCCATATATTATTATTACTATTATTTATTTATTTATCTTTTTTTTTTTGTGAGTAAGATACTATGGTCTCAAACATAAGCCAACGATGGCTATTTATTAGTATAATTAATTGCTTGGGAACCGACTCATGTATCCTATATTCTCTATGTCTAGGATTACGAGCCAACCGACACCATAAATTATCCCTTGAGCTTTTATTTTTTTTTATATTTCTTTAATTCTTTATTATTTTAGACGAAGAAAGAGAGTAAAAATAATTATAAAAAAACTAACTAAAAGATGGTAAGAGAAAAATGATCATTATAAAACTAATATCTATATATATAATATTAGAATATTTGTTAGAAAGTAATATATTCATTTGCTTGTTTCTCCAATACAACTTTTGACATTATAAAAAGTCATCTATATCATCAACTTTTAAAAGTGTGTCTATTTTCTTCTCCAATGCATCTTGTCATGAACTCTTTCATGATGAGGTGGATGTCATTTAATGTTGACAATGTTGAGCACACTTTCTAATATCTAACATCATGTTAGACATGATGACTCATCGATTTAATTTATATTTGTTTTAATTTTTTATTTTTTTATCAATGAATTATTTAATTGGTCCATTTGTACAAATAACTTCTTATCAAATTGATGCATTGGAGATACTAGTTTCATTGAAATTTTTAGCCTTTTAACATTATTCCAATGTGGATTATGACATGTGTTAAAAATAATGGTCTTTTACACTTATAGCATTGGAGATGCTCTTAGAGACCGATTGAGCTAGTCAATGTTAAATTTATAAATCCACAATAACACATTATTAGTGGCTGTAATATATTATATTATATTTTGTTTCTATGAAAAAATTTAAAATTTGGGGGAAGTCTTTGTTTTGAATTTTAAATAATTTTTTTAAAACTATATTATTATTATTATTTATGTCTAAAATGACACCAATCAATTCTACAATGCAACTATAACACTAAACAAGAATGACACGATAATGAATGTGAAATATCCTATTAGTACATTAGATCAATTGAGAGAGCAAGAAATACATAAAGATGTGGATGACTTCATAAAGGAGCCATTCGATAGCTCATAGACTTTTTGATGCACGAAAATTCAAAAATTAGACAAAAAATACGAGAAATTAATTGCGAAAATATGAATAAAGTTGCCCATTAAATCATGTGATTGGCTAGTATATTTGCGATTTGGTTAGTGAACTTTCTATAAAATTGCAAAAATTAGTGAGCAAAGATAATAGACTGTTTAGTCCTTATAATAAGCTTACATCATGTATTATATTATTACTATTAAATGAGAGAATATTATTAACAACGACAAAAATAAGAAAAGATTTAAGATTTTTTTCTTCTATTTTTTCTTCTTTTCCATTTTCTAAATCAGATTCTTGAAATTTTAATTGAAAATCTATATTTATTGAAAGAGGTTGATGTAAAAATTATTTGTGGAAAGTTGATTAAAGAAATGAGTCAAAGCATTTGATTTACTTCTTTTAGTAATCCGATTTAAATACAAAATTTGAATGACATTTGATCTTCACGTGTTTAATATATCTGATTTGCTAATTTTTAATTATTTATGGTACAAATTATATTTACTATTTTTCTGATATTTTTATCAATTTTTCTTTTAGTTGTATGATAAAAAATTTGATACTTAATTGATATATTATTAACTAGACTATAAAAATTAAGAAATTATATCTCAATATATATTTCAGAAATAATATAGAATTTTTTTATAATCATTTTATTGTCAAACTTAGTTAATAAATTATTAGTTACATTATATTTAATTCTGAAATTATTTTTATTTATTTTTTTACACAAACAGCGGGTCAGGTCGGGTTGGGACCGAGTAAAACCCACTTTAAGAATTCGGGTTACCCATTTGCCTAACGGAGATCTGTTTACTCGTTGGGTAAAACCCGAATCCGAACCCAAAGTTCACTAATTAACCAGTAACGGGTCGAGTTCAAGTAGGGTGAATTATATGTGGGCTGGGTTCAGGTTTGCCAAAATCTACCCCCGACCCGACCCGACACATTCCTAAAGATGACTCGCCACCAAATCCAACCAAAAACACTGTCTGTAAGGAAGTATTCAATAATTTATGAGTTGTTTAATTTGTCTGACCCGTTTAAATTTGTTACATATATACCAAGTCTATTAGATTTAATATTCAATATTAAAAAGGTTTAGCAAAAATTATCATCCCGTGCATCGCAGGCCACGACTAGTTGAAGAACAAACAAACAAAAATAAAATATTTACTTGGCCGTAACAATTAATCATTGCATTTGCACGATACTCGGGCTAATTGATGCTAAACAAGTGTTGTTTTTGTTAGAATTCGATTTTCTTTGGATATTTAATTATAATTATAGTTAATTGAGATACTTATTACAATTTTTTCATTAAAAAATATCAAGCATAAGAACTTTTTAGGCCATTCATTTTTTACAAAATCACTTCTACTTTGATAATAGTACTTTTATAAAGCGTAGATAGATAGATACATAAGATAGATAATAATTTCTCTAACTCATATTTATTTTATTGATAAATAATTTTATAATTTTGTAATTAATACTAAAGAATAACTTAATTTTTATTATAAAAACAAATATAATTATTTTATTACGCGCATAATATGGATGTAAAATTAGTAAAATTGAGAAGCTTATGTTAACTAAACTATGAGCCATCAGATATTGAAAAACTGAAGCTTACACATAATGATTCGTTTCCTGATACTTTGAGTTCACACAACATCAAATGTAAACAACCTTTTTTGTTTTATTTCTGTTGCTGTCTTCAATCTTACAACTGCATATAACGCAGCGTAGCCTCAACAAGCACATTATTGTTTCTCATTTAACTTGAGCTGGAAATATAAATGACAAAACAATAAGAAAAAGAAGTAAATCATCCCCATTTATTTCATAAAGTACAATATATATTAATATGAGGTTCGATGTTCACACAGGGATGCATGCAGTCATATAGAGCATGAAACATCTTCATTTATCCATCCACATCACACATCTAAGGCTCTTTCCTTGCAGCAGTAAATCAAAAGCTCTGTTAATCTCTGAGAAACCAACCTCATGGGTAACAAACTTGTCGAGATCCAGCTCCTGTACATGCTCATTGCTCAAGATCAATAATCAAGATACGAAACACAAAAAGTAAAAAAGATCGTTAATTAAATCATTGGACTACCTTGTCCTTGTATCGTTTGACGAGGATTGGTATGTCGGATTTCGGTTTAAGGCCTCCGAATAAGGATCCCATGATTGATTTGCCAAGATGAAGGACGTCAAAAGATCCAAACGTCACTTGTGAGCCAGGTTTGTCCACCCCAAGCACAATTGTTTTTCCCCAACCCTAAAGTATAGAAAATCATAATATACACAGTAGGAATGAGCATATATTACTTGATTGAAAAACATCACGCAAGGTCAGTAAGAGATATAACATTGTGAGTGAGGTCTTATTAGGTACCATTTCACAAAGTAAGAGGACCCTCTGTACTACATTGATTAGTTGCAAATCTGAGCCTATAGTTTTAAGTAATCAATAACCTGTTTTCTACAATCAGGACCAATCTCCATATCTCAAATACTTGAGATAACAATTAGTCATGATAAAATAGCTCAAAGGGTTTTTATATCAAAACAAAGCATAAACCTTGCGGCAGCAAGCAAATGCTTCCTCAACCAACGATGCCTTCCCAACACATTCGAAACAATAATCTGCTCCTCCACCGGTCATCTCATTTATAACCTGAAAATGTAATGCAGACCATAAACCAGTTCTATTTTATGTTATTTCATGTGGAATAAATTTGCACAATTTCTG